CGGGACCCCATTTGGGGTCGATCGACCATTTCACGGGGGTCGCCAAGCAAGGCTGTCCGCAATTTGTTTTGTCCGCCATTTGTTTTGTCCGCCATTTTTTTCCCTTTTCCGGTGGGTGCCTTACCTCCCTTGGGCTGGGCCAGCTGGTGGTCGGCCTGCTCCGTCTCTGCTGCTTGCCAGCTACGCCTCGGCTGGCGCAGGGGGCGGAACCACGCATGCGCGGTGCTCCCGGGCAGGGAAAGTCCTCGACTTACGACCGGTTGGGTAGTCCTTGACTTACGACCGGTTTAGTCCTTGACTTACGACCGGTTGGGGTCACGGCATTAAAAAGGTTGCGAACCACTGACATAACTGAAGTCTTCTTCAATGGACCATTTGCATACCAATGCTGTTTTTTCTTCCCAGTTTGGAACTATCTGCTTGATAGGTCTGCACAATCCTTTCCTGTCTGTATTGCTGGGTATCATTTAGCCATCTTTCCCAATTATTGCCCACAGAAGTTGTTGTACTTCGCTTTCCAGCATTTCTGACAATTGATCATACTAACTTGGAATTGTAAATTTTGCAGACCAACATTTGAGAACATAAATCTTTTTTTTTGGGGGGGGGGGGAGACTTATTACGGTACTTTTGCAATCTTTTTTCCAAAAGACTCAAGGTAATGTAAACATGATACTAGCCTATGTATTTTTGTAATATTAATGACGTGCCAAAAGTCAGCTGGGGTTTTCAAATCAGGCTCAGATTTATAGGCATTATATTTTGTCATTTGCATTACTCATGGAAAACATTATCTCAAAACCAGATTTTTCTGCTGCTTTGCCATCAGCAGTGATGAGGCCTGTGTCATGTGCTCATTTTGCTTTGTCATTTCCCTACTACATAGCTTTTTTGAAAATTACCATCACGTTAGTGTTTCACATGCAAAATTATCTTAACTGTAGATCCTGTGCAGAGCTTTCCTGTCTAAATGCATGTCATATCTGGAGGCAGTTGCCATTTTATAGATGGAGAAGTTGTAATAATCATAGAGGATTTTCTGTTTATCTACCAGTATTCGGATATTTTTATAACTTCTCAGGCATTCCTAAGATAGCTCTTAAAATATTATAAAATTTAGTATCCTTTTATGAATTCTTTCTTCTAAATTAATAATTAAGTAACCCCTTCTGATGCATAAATCACTTCTGAAAATCTTTGCCAAATTACACACTTACCCAGATACTCTCCGAGAATTCGATACAACTGAAAGAAAAATATTGTATAAACATATTTATCATTGTAATGTGATTTTTTGCAACCTTCTGACAAGCAAAGTCAATGGGGAAGCCAGATTCACTTAACAACCGTGTTACTAACAACTGCAGTGATTCACTTATCAACTGTGCCAAGAAAGATCATAAAATGGGGCAAAACTCACTTAACTGTCTCGCTTCGCAGTAGAAATTTTGGGCTCAATTGTGGTCATAAGTCAAGGACTACCTAAAAAACAAACCAGAGGTTTAAAAAAAAGGCTGATAGTTGAATAGAAGAGTAGAAAGCATAGATATAGGAGATAAAGAACATGTTCCACATGTATGGGGCTATAGTAACTAAGTTCACTGGAAATTATAGCCCCACATAACTGGAGGGCACTAACTTGAATAAAGCTTGACAACTCCATCCAAAGGAAAATGAGAAGCACAATGTCAGGGTTGAAATAGACTAGATATATATTTGACTCTGGTGTGAATTTGGCTGAGGAATGAAACAAGTTGAAACGAAACTTGTAGATACTTTTTCTTGGCCGTTCCATTATATAAAATTAAAGAGAGAATGAAAAAAAAAGAACAGAAACTTCAAAACATGGGACATAGTGGCCATTTCAGAGTTTTATTGTAATTCCACCATATTTTCTAATATCCTAAAATCTTGGAATCTACTTTTACCATTGATCTGAACCTGCCATTGCAGTGATTGGACTGCAAAACTTTGATCTAGAATCATCCTGTATGTTTCCTTCCTTATTACATTCTGAGGAAGTAATGAAGGAATTGTGTACTATATACAAATCAAGCCAACAAATACAGCTTTTTCCGATATGAGAGAAGGACTTAAATATTTAAGTCTCACCAAAACCTAAAGTAGCCATACTTCTGGTTTTAGGGTTTTAGCTACATGAAGGATATAGAACACCATGAGTCAGACCTGAACTTTTCAAGAAAATGGAAGTATAAATTCTCTGAAAAGGAAACATAATTCTGAATGTTGCTGATATTTTGCGGAAATGTAAAATTCTAATAGCCATAGATGGATGCAGCTTCTATTAACTGTAGAAGTCTGTGGCTCAACTGTGCATGCAAAGGAATATCCCAGAGTCTTGTTTGGATAAGTAAAATACCTTCTAAAAACAGGCTATAATAAGCTCATTACATTTAACATTTCCTATGTGCGCCTTTCTTTTCCAACTCTTGAGAGGCAAATAGCTTCTGCACACAAAATATACAATTTTCAATGCTTATATAAAAGGTAGAGCGTTTTGTCCTGATTCTGCCTCCCTTTTTAATTTTTATGACAGCCCCTTTCTAGCAGATGCTACTAAACAATGCAATTTTTACTTGAAACAGTATTTGGAACAATTGCTTTAAATTTCATGTAGTGCATTGCTATTTCTTAAGCTGCCCTTTTTTTTTTCAAATATGAGAGGCAGAAATGGGTTTTACTTGAATAAGATCTAAAACACTTCTTCCAAAACATTTCAAGCCATGAACAACCCAATAAATACTTTTCTAGGTATTCTTTTGCCAATGTAATCCTTTTTAAGGAAGTAATTTCCAAAACATAGAATGAAAGCCATTTTAAATTAGGGATGGAGAAACATCCTCTGCCCTTGTATGGCTGCATCAGTTGGGAAGCACAGATAGCAAAAGTTGAGTCACCTTTAAACAAGAAGTCTATCGGTAATCTCCATTTCATTCACATTCATCTATGCATTTAAGACTGAGAATTCAATGCAAACATTTTCATGAAAACTCAGGGTGAGAATTTTTAAAGTACATTGTTTACAGGATTTTCTATTTACCATTTATAGTATTTCATTTTTTCCCCTTTTACTTTCTCTAGGGAGCTGGTGACAGTTTTGTCGGAGCACTAGCATTCTACCTGGCTCACTACCCCAATCTACCTCTACATGAAATGCTGAGGAGAAGTAACTTCATAGCATCCATTAGCACTGAAACAACTGGGACACAGACTTCCTTCCCTTACAGAAAGGATCTGCCACAAAACCTATTTTAAGCTGTGTAAAAATTTGATTTTTCTCTGCTCAAACTTTTAAACAAATGCCAACTACACGGATGCCAAAATGAAAATTGTATAAATTGCATGTTTTTGCTTAGCCTTATCCTGAATGAGGTGTATATGGTGTCACACACTGCAATTCCAGTTTAGGATACAGCATTTCGGCTGATACAGTAAGATTATTTCCATGTCTTGGTCACTTAAGCAAGGACCCTTTTATTACTGTATGTTTTAAAATTGTAATCCTACTTCGAGAATAAATTTTTTGCACAATTTGGAAAGTCTTTGCACTGATAAACAGGATGATCAAAGCAGAAAGAAATGTTAAATATTTATACTGAGGCAAAGCATACACAAAAAGGTAAGGTTCACTTTTGTGGTAATCCAGTTGCCATGACTCAACTTCCAGACATAATTGTAGAAGTTGTTAACTTTTAAAAACAATGGAATTTGAAAAATCTTTGTCATGGTCCCTATACTTTTCTGAATATGAGATATGTGCCAAAAGGCATTCATTTATGTTTGTTTAAAATGCTTCTATACTGCTTCACTCATTCTTAAGCAGTTCACAGCATATATGCAATAATACACTACAAAAAATTACTTTACAACATTCAAACTATCCTGTTACAGCCAGCAATCACAATAGGATTAATCTTCATGCAAGTTCCCACAATCGCAAGTAAAACCACTGCATACCCCTCAATTCCAAGCACTCTTTGGAAAAGCCAAGTTTTATACACTCCCTAAATATCAAGAACAAGGTGAATGTGTTAATTCTGGTTGGAGTCCATTCCACAGGAAAGCAGTTCCTGCAGAAAAGGCACGTAAGTCCCCTCCTACAGCTCATTCTGCAGGCATACATTGGATGTGTAGATTCTATTTGAAGAATATGGAGATTCTCAGTCATCCAGGTCATGGTTGTCCCAAAGGTGCTTTTTCAGGAGGCAACTAGAGTTTTTCTTTGAAGACGTTTCGCTTCTCATCCAAGAAGCTTCTTCAGTTCTGACTGGATGGTGCTGGTTGGATTCCCCACCATCCAACCAGAGCTGAAGAAGCTTCTTGGATGAGAAATGAAACATTTTCAAAGAAAAGCAAACTCCAGTTGGCTCCTGAAAAGGCACTTTTGGAATATTTGAATAGAATTTAAATATTCTGTTAGATACCTGGGTTCTCCTAAGCTTTGTGATACTTTAAAAGGAATGACCAGCATCTTGAAATGCATGGGTTGAGGGATTTGACAGAACTCTCCTGAAGCACTTTTTATATTTGAGATGAAACCATGATATGAATTTTTAACAACTTTTTTGTTTTGCTGATTGTTTCAGTTTGTGCTATGGATGTTTATGGGATATGGTCTTTTTTTGGGGGGGGTACAACAAAGTATTTTTGCAGCGGTACAGAAATCTAATAAAGTATAATAACACCAGTCAACTGTAACTGCTAAATCAAATTCCTTAAAAAGCAGTATAAGTCCATCTGCCTTCCAGTATGTCTGAGACCGCCAATCAAACCATGGAAATTATTCCATTGTTCGGTTTTGTAGCTACATGGAATGAATGTTTCTCAGGAGAATATAAGCTTCCCTAAATCTGTTTCTCCCAGATGTGTTTGAACTATCATTTCCACAATTTGCTGGAATCTATAGAATTTTAGTGCAAAAGACTGAAGAAGCCTCTTGTAGGTGGTTTCGTCTCTTGTGTTGAAATGAAACATATACACAATGGATTCAGAATTTTAATTCACAAGTGTGAAAACAAAATAATTGATGAAGATCCATCTCTAAATATCAGTAATTTTCCATGATGTTTTTATTTACAATTGGCTTTGACCATCTCAGTTCATTTTCTCTTTTCAGCATTGCCAACTTCGTATTTCCTTGTATACATCTTCACAAATCTTCTTTGCTAAGCATCAGTTCACAGAACAGATCTTTTTATGCTCTTTGAAGAGGACTTTCTGTTTGACTATGAAAAGACAAAAAGAAAATCCCTAAAATTATGCCAACTTACATGTTTACATAAATACAACTAAATCAATGATTGGTTCAATTGTATGTCTTTCATCACATGAGGGAGGAAATGAATATGATGTACAACAAATATGTTGTAGTCCACCTAGAGTCTATATTACTTAGGGTGCATTAAAAATACTACAAAATAAGTAAAGAAAGCTTTACTTATTTTACTTAAAAGTGTTATGGTTTGAAACCTAAATGGTAAGGAACAAATAGAAAGAATATCAATGTATATGAAATTCTTTATAGGTTTCAATGGTTTAACACCAAAATTTTAAAATATTGAGATCATTAATTGTACATTTTCCATGAATAATTTTTTCTTACAGTTCTAATCTAATTTATATCAGTGATATAATTTCTAAAATAATTCTTCATCTAAAGCAAAGTATATACAGCTCCTTCTAGTTTATATCAGATATTGTTTCTTGCTTGGAT